ACTACCAAGCAGGTCTTCTCATGTATCCTAGCGAAAATTACATCTGAATAGATTTTTTTGCCGGAAATCCTTAACCTTATAACGTGTACAAGGAAACTGATCTTTTTATGACTTAAATTCGCATCTTGAGCATATTGAGATGGATGGTTGAGAAAATGAGTGGTTTTATATTAAGAATTAAGCGAGAAAAGTATCGAACTCATTTAAAAGTGAATTTTTTAGGAAGAATTCGACAGATTTGCGAACCAAATAAAGGTCAGACCACTATATCCTTGATAGCGCAACAATTGCCGCAGTGCTTGAAAATCCCAGAAATAACTTCAGATCAGAGACAGGTGAACTCATCCATGTGGAGAAAATGTTTCCACCAAAGCATTTTTTTCCAAAATGCTTCGTTCGTCGGGCAAAGATCTTAGAAATAATATTGGCACAAAGTTTGGCAAATCAGTCAGAAAGTGTCTTTATCGTTTCCCATTTATATTGCGTAAATGAGCTTCGAAGTTAAAAAGAAGCGCTTCACATAAAAAATTCCAAAATGACTTATATCTTGAGGATGTCCAGGTAGAATGCGAGACCTAGTTCACCAAATACTTGTTCAAAAAGTGAGGAAGTTGTTAAGCTAAAACTGCATATATGCAAGTCCCCTAGAATAATGTTATGGACACGCCTCTTCGCGCTCCTCCTCACAAGAAAGTTTGTAGAAAGTAAATTTGAATGAAAGTTACTTGTTCGATTACCCAATTACCTATTCATTACATAGGAACTAATTTTTCCTGAGGTATTGAAGTTGTACGAGAACGTTTGAGAGATTGAGAATATCAGTACAGAAAAGCAGTTGATAGCAAAAATTATTCACACAGGACTAATTAAAGGCAAAGAAAAGCGCTCCGAGTGCCCTCCTACCTGCATCATCAACTGCAGCAGATCGGAAGGGCCCCTCACAGTGGTTGGGGCCGCAGGAACCTGTACTTTGTCTTGTACAGCAGTGGCTAAAGCATTCGCCTTCACGTCGCCGTCAGCCATAAATTCATCGTTGATGAGCGGCGCAGCCTGCAACGATCATAGATTTTTTGAGGTTCAGTGTAGCAAAAGGTCTTTGGCTACTGGTCACTTGACAAAAAACTACAAAAACCAAAAGCTAGTGAAGAGAAAGGAGCAAATGATTATCTCCACTCAAAAATTAAACTGGCTCTAGCAAATTCTATATAGTAAAAATAAACGCAGTTTAAATTTGATTAGGGGAAACTAATAAGGAATTTCGGTTATCTCCTTCCCCTCCTAAACAAAAACTGAAAACAGTCAAAATAATTATTAAATATTCTTTGTGATCTATCACATCTCAGCTGATCGAACAGAAATTGGGTAAAACACGAAAAAACGAATTTAGGTTAACGGTGAAGCTTGTCAGGATTTCCGGTTAAAGGGATTCACTCGTAATGTTTCAGATGAACAGAGTTTATTTGAGGAAGTTAAAAAGGTTTAATACCTGATCTTGAATTTTCTTCATCTCATTAAGATTCTTAACTCTTCTCAGGTATGCAATGCGATTGTCGACTTGTCTGCCAAGTCGAGGATTATGTGGTAGGCCAAGGCGTTGAACCTTAAGCGACTGTTTCAGATGCTAAGACCAGAATGTTGCGCAAATGCAATCCTCTACCTCCTCTTCAAGTCTTTCCTGTCGAGTAGCGTTAGGCCAATCTTCATAAAATGACTTATCAACTATCTCCCTGAGTGTCCTGAAATCAAAAAATTCCTCTAGAGGAGGCCTTCCAATGTAATTTGTTGCCACCTACTTAGGTAAGCCCGCATGAGTTCCCGGTGTACCGACCGGCTCCATTGCATGATTGTGGGCACCTCTTTCTTCCACTATAATGAATTCATTCATTCTTCTGGCCCTCACTCGATAGCGGCATTTGCTCTGCAGTCGATTTATGCACTCGTAACTACAAAATAGTAATTAGTCGCTATCGCAGCGGGCTGTTCACCACCGCAAGGTCAATTTGACTGCTCTACTGACCGCGCGACAAGTAACTTACTATTCGTAGCCGTCCAATTTTTTATCATCTCTGGCCATCACATATAACGAGTAGATCAAAGCGTCAAATTCTTTTTTATTAACAGTGGTAAAACATTCATGCCATGGTTCTTGTCGATACGGCCTAAAACAGAGAGTCCAATGTCATTATTAAGATGCACCTGTTTTGGCCTACCGAGGTTCTTTCCCACTAAGTGCTGGTTGAGTGTCATTTACCACGTCGCTGCTAGGGCTTTGATTTCGGGGGGTGTCGCT